GATAGATCCCCAAACCACAGGTGCTGTCTACACATCAACACGCTTTCCTTAACACCAGAAATTATCGCTTCATACTACTTCTGGTTTTCTGCTTAACACCGAAAAGCGCGAATGAAATAACCATGATGTGGCTACAGGAAATAAAAAAAGATATAAAAAAAAAAAAAAAAAAAAAAAAAAAAAAAAAAAAAAAAAAAAAATCATTCACAGCAAAAAAAAAAAAAATAAGGCCTCCGTTTCATTCACACATGCCTGCATCACGCGCCACAACGAGAAAACAGAACACCCAAATGATTACACACACCTCCACAGTATCAAAGAGCACAAAAACGACATTTCAATCCAAACTAGAAGCCGTCCCGCATCGCCGCCACGTGGCCTCCTTCGCCCGTCCATGGTCCCCCTGCTTCCTAACCTCCCTGCAGACCGCTTCCCGCCGTCCCCCTGTTGTGCGGCCCTGCACCACGCCGTGGCCCCGTGCGGCTGCGCGGATCTTCCGGCGTGGGCTCCTCCTGCCCTGGGCTGTTATTTCCGGCTGGTCCACCGCACCGCTCCCTTCCCTCCCCCCTCAACTCCCTGCCTTGTGCCCCTCGCCCCCCGCGGCCTGCCTGCGTTCTCCTGTCGCTTTGCCGCCCCCGGCTTTTCCCACCGGTCCCGTCCTGTCCCCCTCCCCTGTGCCGCCCCTCGCCCCGCCTCCCCCCTCACCCGTCCCTGCCCCCCGCTCCCGCCCGGCGCCCTGGGCCCCTGACCACCTCCCCCCCTCCATTGCACTCCCCTCCTTCCCCCGCCGCCTCCTCCTGCCTCCCGGAGCGGGCCGTCCCGCCCTCCTTTCCGCGGCCGCACCTCTGCCCGCCCGCCGCCCCAGCTCTGTCTCTCCCTCCCCCCCTGCCGGCCCTGTGCTGCCCCGCTGTCTGCCTGTTGCGCACTCTTCCCCCCTCCCTGGCGCCCTGTCACTGTCCCAGCCGTGCTTCACCCGCCTCCCCTACTCCTGTCCCCCCCCCCCCCGGGCCCGGCTTCCCTGCCTCGCCGCACCGCTCACCCCCTCCCCCTCTGTGTTCACACATGTCTTTTGACGCGGGCCTGTGGGCTTTCGCCACCCTGCCCACGCCCCTCTGGCCCGCGCCTGCCGTTCGCCCTCCGGCGCCCGGTCTGTCAGCCCAACTGCGTCCCCCTGGCCCTACACCACTTCCCTATCCCGCCGTCCTGGCCTCCCCCGGAACCCTATGCCACACCGCTCCTGTTTGTGGCCTTCCCGCTTTGCTTTCACCCCCGCCATCCCCTCCTCCGCTTCTGTTACCCGGACCCGCCTCCACCCGCTTCACTGTGCCTTTGCCCTCCCCCCTGCGGCTCACCCGCGTTCGCTGTCTGCATCGGCACGGCCGCCCCCTCAACCGGCTGGGCCTGTCTCATGTCTCTCCGCTCCGCCCCGCTCCCCCCACGGCTGCGTTCTTTCTCCTCGTGCTCTCTTCTTCCTGTCCACCCCCCACGCTGCCCTCCCCGTTCCCCGGTCCGTCCGGTCCTGCCGTTTGCGGCATGCCCCTCTCCTTGGTGCCTCTCTCGTGGACGCATGGTCCTGCCTCCCGCTGGGAGCTTGACCGCCTCCTGGTGAGCCTGGTGCCGCCCCGCCCCCCCTGGCGCCCTCACCTGCCGCTGGTTGTGGCCTTTGGGACGCCCCCGGCGCCCTCCGCCCCCCTCACTACTGTGTGCCTCCCCGCAGTTGGACTTCTGGCGGCAGTCCTTCCCCTTCCCTGGTTCCCGAGCTCCTTCCACCCGGCACCCGTGGACCTGCCATCTCCGGCTCTCTCCACCGCCGGACACGCCCCGCCCAGCGGCTGTTCTTCCTGGCGGCCGCTGGGGCACTTCCCCACCTGCCCACCGCCCGCTGCTGGTTGGCCCCTGCCCTCCCTCGCGTCCTCCCTCACCCCCTTTTCCCTCCCTCCTGGTACGCTGCTGGCCCTGCCCCGGCCCGGCTTCTCCCTTTCGCATTCCGCTGCCCTGGTCTCTGGGCCGCCGCCTCCTGCGCGGCCTGGTTCCCTCCGGCGCCCCGCTTGGCCCCCAACCGCCCCGTTTTTTATTCCCCTCTCCCCGCCTGGCCTCCGTCCCCCGGCCGGGCCCCTGCGCCCTGCTCTTCCCCGCCCTGTACTAGTCTGCCTTCCTTCACTGCCCTCCCGTTTGGTTTTTCTGTCCTGCCCCTTGTCCTCTCATTTGCGTCCAGTTTTCGCTTTTTCTGCTTTGTCTTCTCTTTCTTTGCTCTCTCTGTCCCCCCAGTCACTTGTTTTTTTTGGTCCTTTTTTTTCTGTCGCCTCATGTCCCCCCGGCCTTCCTTGTCTCTTTCCTTCCTCCTCCTCTCCTCTTCCTGCTTCTGCTTCCCTATTTCCTTTTCCCGTGTACAACCGGTCCTCCTCCACACCCTTCTAACTGTTGCCCCACCTCGTCTTCCTTTTTCACCCCTTTTCCACGGTTGACTGTTCACTGGCCTCACTCGTCCGCCCGGATATACTCTACCCCCCTGGCTTTGCCTTTTCCTGGTCACTGGCTGTCCTCCACCAATACTCTGTGCCTCGGGCGCCAGTGACTTTCACTGTTTCCCTTGACCCCCCACATTGTGGCATTCGCCCCACCACCCAATTCTGCAACCCGGCCACCCCATTGCCGTGTTGCAAGCCTTTGCCACTTCCCGCTCCCCCGGGGGCCACCTCACCTTCCACTCCTCCCCCCTGCCTGTCCACACCACCTTGTTTCGTTTTTTTGCTCCTTCCCTTCCACTCCTTCCTCTTTCTTTGCTTCTTTTCCTCTTCCTGTTTCTGTTTTCCTCTGCTTCTTTTTTTGCGGGCCCCCCTCGCGTTGACAGTGTTGTTTGGCGTGGCGCCTGCCGCCTCTTCGCACCGCTGGTCCCTTGGGCCGGGACTCCTGGTTCATTCTCGGCGTCCTCTGTCTCCTTAGCCCCATCGCGACTTGACACTTGCTACCCGCATGGCACTCTTTACCCTTACCCTTTCGCCCTGCCGCATGTCCCTCGCCCATCTGCTGTCAGGCCAGTTTTGGCCCCTAGGCCCCTGTCGTGTCAGTAACTCGGCACTTCCACCGGTCACTTCTCTGGTGCTCCAACCCACCAGGATTCTGTGGCAAGCTTCATTCACATGTTACACCACTACATCAATGCCACGTAATAGAAGCGAGGTCAATGAGTGTGATTAAAACCAATAGGTGGTTTTTTTTCAGTCTGAGCCAAAAAAATTTGCCTAAGAACTGAAGAATAAACGGCATTAAGGCTGTCAGCATCCACAATTTACTAAAAAAAAAAAAAAAATTCTTATTTTGTCTAAACTTGAAATGTACCCGCAATTCTGAAATGTGAAATATAAAAAAAACTTTATATCTATGGTCTGGTCTGAAGTTGTTGAAAAGATTTGATGCAGTAAAAGTGAAAGAAACAATTTATATATGACATTTTTATTACACTTTTATAAGGGACCGTTTTGGGACCTAAGGTTACTCTCATTGCTCCAAAAATAATAATGTATCATAATCAATGTTGTTATCCACTTTGCACCTCATTCTTGGAAAATATTAATATTTTGTGTTTTTCCCATTTCGAAATTCAGGTGTCCTTATGACAAAAAGGGCATAAAAACGGAAAAATATATATAAAAGAAATAATAAAAAATTTACATCTATGGTTAGGTCTGAAGTTGTTGAAAAGATTTGATGCGGTGAAAGGGAAAAAATATATTTATATATGACATTTTTATTTTTCAAAGGTGCCTCAAGGGTCAAGTAAGCGATAAAGACTGAGATGAAGATGAACGATGAAAAAAGAGAGGAGGGACTTAAGAGAGAAATAGTAGGGCAAGAGAGATAAACAAAGAATTAAATAAATATAAATATAACAGGAATCTTGATCACAAGGCTGCCAGAAATCAGCAGTTTTTCTTCTCTCTTTGAAGATGGAGACTCCAGAAGGAGCTGAACTCTGCTTTCCACAACTTCTTAACCTTTCCTGCAGGAAACCCATGCCGCCTCAGTCTGATGCCATGCTGGTTTACATTCTGCTGACCTCTATCTCTCTGCTCACTGCAGCTCTCAACCTGCTGGTCATCATCTCAATCTCCCACTTCAGGCAGAGATATATAAGCTAATATATTTACATAAAAATGTACAAAAATCCCATGTCTTCTTTTTAATGTGAATGTTCAAGCTAATAATAACTGTGTGTGCCTTACTAGATAATATGACATATTTAAACATAATGTTGTGAGAAAATAATGAAAGCTGACACCCATAACAATGCCATTGCTAACTACTAGCTACCATGGATGACAATGTCATAAATTATTCTTCCCCAGGCAGCTCCATAGCCCCACCAACCTCCTCATCCTCTCCCTGGCAGTCTCAGACTTCCTTGTGGGCCTGCTGCTAATGCCGGTGGAAATCCTTTTCACAGAGACCTGCTGGTTCCTGGGTGACCTCATGTGTGCTCTGTATTATTATGTAGATTTTATTATTACTTCTTCTTCAGTTGGAAATATGGTGCTCATATCAATTGATCGTTATTTGGCTATTTGTGATCCTCTACATTACACCAGCAGAGTTACACTGGAAAGAACAAAAATCTGTGTTTGTCTGTGCTGGATCTGTCCTATTTTCTATAATAGTCTAATTTTAAAGGACTTCCTGAGGCAACCTGATTCTCAGAATTCCTGCTACGGAGAGTGTGTTGTGGTCCTTAACTATATCACAGGAGTTGTTGACTTTATCTTTACCTTTATTGGCCCTATTACTGTCATCATAGTTCTGTATATGAGAGTATTTGTGGTGGCTGTGTCTCAGGCTCAAGCTATGCGGTCCCACATCACAGCTGTCACACTCCAGGGTTCAGTACGTGTAACTGCTAAGAAATCTGAGGTGAAAGCAGCCAGAACACTTGGTGTTGTAGTGGCTGTGTTTCTAACATGTTTCTGTCCATATTACTCTCCATCCTTTGTAGGCCAGGATATTGAAGACAGTAGTTCATCCTCGCCTTTTGTAGTCTGGCTGCTGTATTTTAATTCCTGTCTGAACCCGATTATCTATGCCTTTTTTTACCCCTGGTTTAGAAAATCTATTAAACTCATGGTTACACTTAAGATACTGCAAACTGACTCCTGTGATGCTAACATGCTGTAGGGAGAGACTGGTGAGTAACATCAATAAAACTTTATGTGGATATGGAAATGTATTTGCTGTTGTCAGTGAGTCAGCCAATTAATTGTGTTCATTGTCATTTACTACATCTCAAATTATCATGCTTCTGTAATTCGTACAGTGACAGTGATATTCATATCAATATGTTGATCTAGCCCTGCAGGGGCTATTTGTGCAGTGGATATTTGTGCATTGGAGGGGTTAGTGGAAGTTGATAAAAGCAATAACATTAATGTTAATAATAATTAAATATCATGCAATTGTAATGGGTTGGAAAATAAACTAAAAGTGCCAAAATTAAATAATTAAATATGCCATTAAATAATTACTTGAATGTGTCATTAATTAATAAAAATGCCGATTCATTTTATGTAAAAAACATATGTAATTATTTCACTATTTAATTAATTACTTCATGGTCCTGTGTTGCAGTGCTTCATGAATTTATTTTATCTGTCAAACTCGCCCATCAAAGTCAGTGGGTGGGGCTAACGCTAATCTAGTGTGATCCAGTGCCTGGATAGAGACAATGGAGGATCTTTGTGAACTTTCAAGGGCAGAGGTCACTAACAGGTCTGGACCCAGACGCCGTCCTATGCAGACCCAGAACTATACTCAATTAATTATTGAGGGATTCTAAATTTTGACGGGGCGCTTCTATTTTAACCAGCACAGCTTTTCTAGTCTTTACGGCATTTGTTTAGCGGATCAGGAACCTTACAGATCAATTGCATGGGGGTAGAGATGTTTACTTGTCTTCTGCAGGACAAAATAAATGCTGGATACAGTAATGAGTCGTTCTCCGTTACATGCCATTACACCAAGTCTGTTACATATGACTAAACCAATTACACATTACCTCATCCAGATTATTCCGGCACAGGTCTCTCGGTTCCTCTCGGTACAGCACTTTTCTTGAGGTGAGTTTTTTTTCTGGAGGGTTGGAGGCTTTTCTGGGTATGATGAAGTCGTCCTTGTCGAATGGTTACTGCAGAAACGGTAGTCCTCTCTCGCAGCGTTTCTACTGTGTTTCGACATTTTATATAGACCAGCCACTGCTCACGTACCGCTGTCCCTGCAGAGGAAGGTCATGATGAATAACTTTCGGATTGTATCTGTTCAGTTTTCTTTATTCGCAGCCGGTGTAATATAGCTCAATACACGATACATTCTTTTCTCTTCTCTTTCTTTATGCTAACGTATTGTTTCGTCAACCTTCCTCCGAACAACCTTCTATTCATTCACATCTCGGTATCAACGCTCTTCCGGAACAATGTGAGTTTACTGCGAGATGTGGGCGGTTCACTCTTCACATCTCATAGGAGTTCTACTGGTCTGTGTACTTTTTCCCAAGATGGCAGCTCGCTGTGATACGTGTATACGGTGACTATGTTTGTTTAACTATCTTTAATTAAAGCTGTCTGCACACTTACAAAGTTTCTCAATGCTTCGGATTTTATCAGAGTAAGGCCCTCATTATTTATTGTCATTACTAGTTGTGTAAGTGTTGGTTGCTATTTTTGAGCCTTTATAGTGGTATTAAGATAATAGCTTCTTTTCACTTTACTCTGTGGCCCGTTGACTAGCGTTATTATTCGGTATATTTCCGGTTGTGCTAAAAACTGGTCACAGGTCGATTATGCCATGAAAAAATAATTCTCTCACAGATACGGACCAATTCGTTTAACACATGTGGTTTCATTTAACCTCATTGGTTCATT